GCATTTTGACTTTACTGCTTTACACATTTAGTTGTTTACTTTACAAATTTGCTAGTATTTTTGACTTGTTTGCTGTGTCACTTTCTCTCCAAGATATGGAGATAACCTGATAACCAGGAAGGAGAAGCCAGGAAGTTGCTCTTATGTTCATACTTTTTCCATTAGTTGTTCTTTAAGTGACTTTGAGGATTTTGTTCACAATTTTTCAGCAACCTGAAAAATCCCTGAGTAATTTATTCATCCCATTTTATTCAGTTTTAAGACCTTTGCCAAGTATCTGTTTATCAAAGTGCTAATGCTGTCAGACAAACATATGGATGAGTAGGTAGGACAACATGCAATCTTTTTCTCCAAGAATAGATGTTGGTTGTATTTTTCTTATTTAACTTGGGTATAGCATTAGCTGTGATTTAAATGAAGAGATACTGATTTTAATCTGCAAAAATGTATCCAAATATAGTGTGGTGCAAATAATGTAGAACTTGGAAGGGTAAGGTCTTGAGTGGGAGTTCAGGAATAAGGGAACGGATCTTTAGTGATTACTTCCAAAATGCCAGGATTTATGATCATTGCTGTACTGTCCTGTCTCCCACTCTGGGGAGTCAAAAGACTCTACTTCCTCCACATGTTAGCAAGTTTCTAACCTCACAGATCCTCACTCTTCCTATCTTAAAAATGATCATCAGCATCAGACCTGCTCCCTCACCAGGTTGTTGTGAGGAGAAAATGTTGCTGTAGAAAAAGTGTTTGATTCTGAGAATATGCTCATTGTTTTCCAATGAGATAAATAAATAAGTCATGTATCCTGAGGAGGGACACTGTATATACTGAGACACCTGTATATACTGAGTACCTTAAAATATTTACAATGAAACCAAGTAAAAAAGAATTTGGAGAGTGTCTTCAGAATTCTTGGAAAAAATGTGAAACTTAAAGTGAATGATCCCTAGCTGGATCTCTCTCTATAGGTGAGGGCTAAACTAAGTTTTATGACTCACTCAATACAGTATATAGTGAACTATATCCAAAAGATCAATTATTGATTTGAAATATTGGGGCATTATATATTTAACAAATTGCTGCTTCTTCTCCTATTATTGAATGTTGACTTTTGCTTTTAGAGTATTCGATTATATGGAGAAACATTCTCTAAAGATTTTTTTTTTTTCACCAATCAATGAGTTTTGGAAAAAATATGCTGGAGGGAGTACTTTAGGGGTTCTACCCTAGAACTGGCCAGTAAATACCTGGCCAGTAAATACCAGTGTGTGTATGTGTGTGTGTGTGTGTGTGTGTGTGTGTATAAAACATTATAAAGATATTAAACCCTTTGGACCTCAGTTTCTTCCTATGAAATGAGCATATTTGACCAACACCTAAAGGTCTCTTCAAAAATTCTATGCCATGAAAGCATTTCTCCCTTCTTTATTTCCCTATGGTGAAGTTACATTATGTGTTTTAATTAATAGCACCTTAAAAAAAATAGCCCTCCCTTTTCATGACCTAAACATGAATTAACATAACAAGCAGGCATATAGAAACTTGACAATTATGCAAATATAGTAGATGGCCTGGTGGGCACTGTACTTCTTCACAAAGATTTAGGTAGGCATTAAGTTGTCTCTGCTAATCCTATATTTAATGACCTTTAAATTGCATCTGCTGGGATCTTCTTCCATCCTTCACATCAAATTAAAGAAAACATTTTGACTTCTCCCTGTTATTCTTCCCATAATCTGGTACCACCTCCTTTTCTTTATGTTACAATTTGCTTTTCTTGACATGGGACTGAAGGAACGATGCTATCATGTTCCATGTTCCATTCGTGTCTAGTGAGGAATCTCACTCGCTTTCTCAGAAGGGGAGGGGAGAAATTCACTGAGCTCTGCCCAGGATGTCTGTTCAGTTGTTTCACAGTGAAGCTTCCCTAAGTATTCCTTGCATAGCCAATATCAGAGAGCTTTATCTTTGACAGCACTGACAAGATGTACTGATGTACACTGGTGTTTATCTGCTTTGTGTTCCAAAGAGTAATACATAAGTAGCTAAACCTCAGAGCTACGTCTGCATGAAACATTTTAGTGGGCTGCAGACTTGGCCAGTGTTTCTCCAGATTGCCTGGTGCCATATTCTTTCGAATTGTTCTTTGGGGTCATCCCTACTGAGGCTAGAAGGAGAAGTAGGGACTCTTTTTAAAATCCTACCTTCCTTGTAATAGTCTCCTTCAGAGTCATCAACAGATATCCCAACTCTGACCATCTTCAGGGGCTGCTTAATTAGCAGTGACATTTAAATCAGGGATTTTTAAAAACTCAGTTGCAAACCTCTGATCAATTTTATTTGTTGGTCATAAAAACTGTATTGCCATATTATGTAGGAATTTTACACCTGAAAATAAAACTCAGAGTGAGGGAAAAAAGTGAAACATCAAACCCACTTTGTAGCAAAAGCAGTAGATGTAAAAAGAAGAACAAAGAAATGGTGAAATACAGTTCGTGAATCATAAATTGGTCACCTTTTACATAGGTCCCAAAATTACTGGCCTAGCAAGCTGGTAGCACTGATTATTAAGCCATTAATAATGACAAAAACCATTAAAAAAAAAAAAAAAACACCCACACATCAACATTCCAACTCAGCATGTTTCTTATGACAAAGAACCCTGAAAACATGGTCCTTTGAAGCTTGTTCTGCCAGAAAGTGTTATTTCTGGTGCAGTTACATGATTGGGGGAGACTGTGGTTGGTCTTCCAGGCATGCTCATATGTCCAGCATCTGGCATTGGTAGATGGTGATCAAATCACCAGACTCACACACTAAGTGACAACACTGGGGACCTGGAGAAACTATATTTCTCAGACTCAAGGGAGTATGTTACTGATACCTGTAATCCCCAAAATATGCATGTGAGCTTCACTAAGGTTAGAAAATGAATCCACTGTTCTTAGGTGTCATTGATTGCCATTTTTAAATAGTCTGTCTAAGATTTGAGAATATGTGTGTTTGGTAGGAAAAGTTTCCCTGGGAAAGGTCTAAGAAAAACTTAAATCGATACTGCAATGCTACGTTTTATAGGAGTTCCAAATCAGGAGTTGGAATATCTACTTCAAGCCTTTCCTCTTGGTTAGGAACTTCAGAGGAACCTCAAAATATCCAACCTTGTTTGTTTTGAAAGCAGTACTTCTAATGAATAGCAGAAAGGCAAATAAAATACCTTTTACTCTTTGTAATAAATCGTTTTGTTTTTTCTATAGATTGCATGTGGCATTTGAGGCACAGCGAGCAAGGTTGCCAATATTGCAAGCTAATGCTTCAGCACCTTTCATTTTTCACCCAGAGCAGGAGCCCTCTTCTTCAACTTGTTCATTTTACAGAGGGAAAATCGAAGCCACTGGCAAATTGTCAGAGCTGCTTTATTGTCATCATTTACAAAGGTTGCTGGAATTAATTGACTTCTTACATTACATATTGTAAACTGACTCATTTTTTGACACATTTATGGGGAAGTGGCAGGATCTAAGTGGCTGGTTATTGTCTTTGGTTTCAGCTTATATCATAAACTAGGAAACCAATAATAACTCTAAAATCACAGCTGCGGAAAAAAATAACATGTAGTTTTAAAGAATCAGACTCCATTAACTACTCAGTTAGTTGAACTAGGGGAAGGGAGGAGAGAGCCTCAGAAGATGAAATGTAAATACTAGGTTTGTTTTAATGTCTTTACAGGACCCATTAAAGGGTGAATGTTTCCGTGAACCTCCTCAATTGATGTCTGTTTGAAAGCGTATACTAACTAAGGGCATCTTTTTTACAAGATTGGAAGTAAAAATTAACCCATACTGCGTTCCATGAATCATTGCTACATGGATGCCCATAGAGTTTACTGAGAGTAATTCAGTCTCAAAGACATTGCTGCTAAAACTAAATATGAGAAATAATGGAACATGAGTAATATTTATCATACCACGACACTTTTCTAAGTAGATATTTTTCATCTGAATTCATCCTTTTGCGTTTTTCACATTATCCCCTTTTTACTCAGTTAGGAAGGTTCCAATCATATTCATAGCTTTCTTTCACTAAAATTAGAGGAATGGAAACAAGGACATATTGTTAAAAATGAATAAATTAGAGTCAAATTAAGCCATCTAGCCCAATAACAGCAAAGGGAATATAGCAGTTGGATTGAACAAACAATCTTCTTAAATAGAAAATGTACTTTAAAGCTATCCTGCTGTGTTCCTGTTAATTACCAGAGAAGATTAGAACTCTTCTGGTTCATGGGATCCTTTTACCTAGTGTGTGGCAGTTCCAGCTGCATTAGCGATCAGACATTTGCACTGTCCCTTCAGACCAGCGAGGGGATGTTATTAAAGGAAAGTCATTTACCCCAATACGTAAGATGTAGCCTGGCAGAAATTCAATAACTGTTTGTGATATGCTCATTCCACTACTCTGCTTTGTGGTTTTAGCTCTTGACAAACAGCAGCATTTTCCTGAATTTCCATCCACTGGGTGAAAAGAAACAAAAATACTCCATTCGGGGGTTTAGTTTCAAACCTGGAATGTTGTGTAATTTGCCTTTCATCACAATGATGTAAAGAAAAAAGAAAATTGCCCCCTCACTCGAGTCTCTCTTCCTCTCCTCTCCTATCTTCTATCCTCTCCTTCCCCCCTTCTTCTTATCTTTTCTCCCCCTCTGTCCCCTTCTCTTCTCTCCCTCCTCTTTCTCCTCCCCTCCACACTGCTTTTTCTCTCCCACTCACATCCTCTGATGGGCATTCAGGCTAGTAAAATGCATATTGGCAAATTCCACAAACAGCCAGGCACACACAGAGCCAGAGGGGTTTTGCAATGTGGGTTTCTTTACGAAAGTAAAATGTAAAGAAAAAATGCTCTTAGAATTCAGACAAGAAAGGAGATTTTAGCTATACAAACATGAGCATCAGTGAAACAAGACATAGAGCACATTTAAATAGACATGCATATTTTAAACTTACCTTGCGAAAGCAGTCTCAGTGCTAGAACACGCCAGTGTTCCTGCGTGCTGAATTCTTCAGTTCCTTGATTGAGATAATCACATGGTTGTGTTTTTGCCTGGGCGTAAATAGATGCATATGTATGTGTGCAATAAAGTAGACACGAATATTTACTATAGATATGCACACATGTAACTGATCTCGTCTCCGGACTCTAAAACATAAAGGAAGGCAGAAGGCTGCAGCTAGGATTCCTTCTTTTTCAAGGAACTCTTTCTCTCAGCCGGCAGGCTGACTCTCAAGCCAGTGTAGAGAGATCCTGCAAGCTGGCTTTATTTCTTCCTGTTTCCATGGTGGTTAGTGGTGCATCGTTCACCCGATCAGTTGTCACACTGACATGGTGCTGCCTGCTCAGCGGTCATTAATAACTGAACACCCTCCACTCCCCAGAGAGGAGCCAATCGCTTCAGACTGCCAAGATGTAGCACTCGCAGCTGCTCCAGTCTGGTTGGCTGAAACAACCTGTCTGTTCTACGACACTGCTGCTTAGGATACAAATAAATGGAACAGGCTTGCAGATTGTCCTAGGTATCATTTTCTCTCTCTTTTTCCTGTCTTTTTTTTTCTTCAGGGAAATGTTGGGAATTTTGGACAAGTTTTCCCATTTTTAGGTTATCGGTCATTCAGAGAAACTGTTTTCACTTTCCAGCTATCCAGAGCACACTGCTTATAAGCATTTCCCAAATACTCAAAGCACCTGGTAGAGCCTCAGACTCCCTCTCTGTGAAGTTCAGAAATGGCTGTATATGTAAGAAAGCTTCCAACTGTTTTGAGTGGCATTTAGTTCTTTATAGATCCTGCTTAATTTAGCATAGGTGTTTGTTGCTCAATAACCTTTTCTTCTCTCTCTCTCTTTCTTAAGTAATGACATTTTAAAAAAAAATCTGGATTGATGAGCTTTTTAAAATAAAGAATGTATTTGTTTCTCTATAATTCACAACATTGGCATTTGGAGCGGATCATTTCTACAAATACGTATTCCGGCTATTTTTACTCACTTTTCTTTATGCGGTGCAGTAAATGTGCCAGCCTTATATGAGTGAGCACGTGTGTAAGGTATTTGTGTGCATATTCAGTGTACGTATGTATGTTTAGAAAGCATGTTTTCCTACTATGGGGAAATATTTTAACTCTAGTAAATTTAATTCTCAGAAAAGTGATTCCTCCTTTTTCTTAGGCCTATTAACTCTGAATGAATATTTACCAAGAAAATGTACTATGTAAGCCATAAAATTAAAGCACTTACTGAATTACCAGAAATTTGGAAAATACAGAAAAGCATAGCAGTGTATGTTTCTCAAAGACTATCTGTAAAAAATAAACAACAGTTTTAAAAATGTACTTTTTTTTCAACCTTAACTAGTATATTAGAGAACCATCTTGTTGAGAAGAATGGAACATAAGGATTAATTTATCAACAGGTCTAATGCAGGCTAGATACATGATTCTAGCCCTAGTTTTGAGAGACTACCCTCTAGTGGAATAAAAAGAAATGACAATTATTAGATTTACTTGGGGAAAAAAAAGAAAAAGCTTCACATCTAATTGTTTCTTAAAGTGTTTATCAAAATGACATAGGCCTATAGTTTGCATTTATCATTAACTATACTCACCTGGGACATTAAAAAATACTGTTGTCTGTAACTACTAAATATTTGAGTAGTTTTTTGTAAAATTTCCAAATTCTATATTATTTTTCTATAAAAACTTATTCAAATGGTTCATAACCTTTTGAATAAAGACAGGTTCAAGACAAAGGTAGCTTCTCATTTAAACTAATAATACTTATTTTGTAATACTGTTGTAAGATTTTAGTCTTTCACTTATCCTCTTTTTTCTTCCTTTTGTTCTATACACTCTACTGTTTCTTCAGAAAGTACAAAGTCAGTTCTGTAGATGTTAGGTCTAATGAATGCGTATTGGAGATTTTGTGTTGGAGTGTATCTTCATATAACTTAATGTGCTTATGATTATGGTAGTAATTATCCTTCTTCTAGTTTTATTCTCTCAGTTCTAATTTCTTAAATATTTCAAATTATTTCAATACTCGAAGGATTTATTTCCACAATGTCAAAGAATTATATTGTTGCTGTTGTTGTTCTTGTTTGAAAAACGAATTTTAGTTTTATACTAAGGTTTCTTAATCATTTTATTTTGGTTGATTGGTACTGACCATGTAATTGACAAATCCAATAATCAAATGACTTATAATGCACCCCCATAATGCAGGCACGTTGTAGTAATGAAACATATCCTTGGTTAAATTACTGCCTGGGTTTGAGTCTTTGCCTTACAACAGGTAAGGTTTTTAGATGAAACAAACATGTTTAATATTTTAAACTTCCTTTCAAAAATGAAAGGAAACAACTTTAAACTTTAACTTAGTTAAATTTTAGGATTATTTTAAATGTTACTTCACATTATTTCCTAGGAAGTTGTTTTAACTAGATGATCAGATTTCTTGGAAAATGAAGGATGAGATTATTCTTCCTACAATCGTACTTTTAATGTAGGTACAGGAGACATTAAAAAAATTTCATACTTTTTATTAATTTAATATCATGACCATTAGAAATAGAATGTCCATGAGGGAGAGACAGTAACTCTGAAATGAGATGAGAAGGATGACAGTTTTGTTCTTTGGCCTTAGTTTTCACTTTTCTGCAAGAGCATCAGCAGCTTAGTAGAATCTTTGCCTCTTCTCAGGGAGGTACTTGTTTACTGGAAATGTAAAAAGTGACTCTGATAAAAGATACTTGAATAAATTATGTAATTATACATCTATATAATAAAATAACTTATGTAGACATTCAGGTACCATGGGGTAAGGATTTTAGGATTAGAATAATTGTGAGTGATCATCAGATGAGAATGATGGAGTCTCAGAACCCCTATGTCTAGAAAGTAAAAAGAATTTTTTTTTCTTTTTTTTTGGAGAGGTTTTTGCTATAGGGCCTGTGCACTCGCCACAAAGACAGAGACAGACAGAGAGACAGAAAGCAAGAAATCACCCCCCGGGGGGGGGATGGCCACGCCTCAATCCCTTCTCCTTCATTCTCCTCTCGAGATCTTGGCAGGCACGCACATGCACCTGGCGTGAGTTTAAGCCACTGGCTCTGAGACTCGAACCACAGTTGACTACATAGGAGTCCAGCGACATAGTCATTACACTAACTGCTCGTCCCAAGACTTTTTTTTTTCATTTATTTATTTATTTTTACATTTTTCCACATTTACTTTACATATCAAAAACTTTTTGCTCATACTCCATAGTTCACAGTTCATAAACAACTTTCAAATTTTCAGAATACTGAACTTTAAAGATAAATAAAGATAAAATATTTCTTATAATCTTGTATAATTTTGTTTGTGATTCTGTAACAACAGAGACAGTATGGTTTTAAATATTTTTGGGAAAATATTTACAAGTCAACTACTCAAATTTTAGAAAAGCAAATGCCCAGCAATCGAGTCACCCATAAATCTTCTCAATTCAGCCCTGCCTACCAAGTATTCTGTGATATATAGCTCTGCTAGCAAAGATCAATCTCTTTTTCTTCTTTCAAAGTCTTCCTCAAGATTATCTTCTGGTGTGGTTGCTCTTTTGCAATCTCTACTGATTACAATGCTGGGCTGGAAAAGTCTAGGTTACTTTATGTTATAAATTCTTTCATGTATCTTCTCTAATCCTCTCTGCCAGTCAAAACTATTTGTGGTGCCAGGCCATCTTTCTAAGAGCTTCTGTTGGCTTACTTGAGATCCACCTTAGTTTCATAGTTTTCTGATTAATCTTCAGGTATGACATCTCCTGTCCAATAATAAGTATTTCCATTTTTTTTTTTTTTTGCTATAGGATGCGTGCGCTCGCCAGACAGACAGAGAGAGACATAGAGACAGAAAGCGAGAAATTACCCCCCAGGGTGGACGGTCACACCGCAATCCCCTCTCTTCTATTCTCCTCTCGGGATCCCGGGCATGCACACACACGTGCCCGGCGTGAGTTTTAAGCCAACGGGTCCGGGATGCGAATCGTGGTCGACTATGTGGGAGTCCAGTGACATAGCCATTACGCTAACTGCTGGTCCCCCGGTATTTCCAATTTCTGATTCAATGCAACAAGCATTATTGAACTTAGGCAAATAATCCTTCTGTCACAAAATAAGAATACTCTCAATTCAAGAGGGGTTAGGAAGGAAGAAAAGTTTATGTTCCATTTAAGGAAACAAATAAGCAAAATATTTTAACAAATTGGTGAACCTATCAACAACTCAAAAGAAAGTAAAATGTTTAAATCGGGAAAACAAAGCATAGTAAAAAAAAAAGAAATCAGTAATGTTTTACTCAAGAGTCATAAAATTCTATTTCACCATTTCAGTCTTCTGTTCAAATTCTCTTCTGTTGAATGTGCAGCGTTACTGTGGTCCAGTCTTTTCATTTAAATCCTGGAAGTTAACACTCAACATTATTATTGATATTTCTTGTCTCTAGCATTAAATTGGTGATTTTCTTGAATGCCTTTTGTTCTCTTATTTCTGTATGTTACTTTAGTTTTCCTGGTAGAGCACTCCTTTCAGAACTTCTTGAAGAGTGGGTCTGCTATTGGCAAGTTCTTTCAGGTCTTGTTTATCTGAGAATGTTTTTATCCTTTCTTTCCATATGAAAGATAATCTTGCCGGGTATAGCATTCTTGGTTGAAACTGTTTTTCACTTAACAATTTGCATATATTTTTCCATTCTTTCCTTGCTCACATTGTTTCTGATGAGAGATCTGAGGTTAATGTCATTGGGTAACCTTTATAAGTAACTTGATGTTTCTCTCTTGCCAATTTTAGTATCTTGTCTTTGTAGGTTTGGCCAGTCTGGCTATGATGTTCCTTGGAGATCTTCTTGGTTTGATTCTATTCAGGGTCCTTTGCATTTCTTGGGTCTGGATATTTGAATGCCTCTCTAGATTTAGAAAGTTTTCTTCGAAGATTTCATGGAATAGATTATCAATGCTCTTATTAGTTTCTTGACCTTCTGGGATACCAGCTATCCAGATGTTTGGGTGCTTAATGGTGTCTAGTATTTCTTGTATAGTATTATCTTTTTTTTTTTTTTTTTGGTATTTTTCACAGTTTTTTTGGTTACTTTTTCTAGATCGGAGGTTTTACCTTCAACATCCAAGATTAGATTTTCTGCATGAACTAATCTGTTTTTAATATTTTCAGGGGAGGTTTTAAATTCCTGAATGCCAGCCTTCATCTCTAACAGCTCCATTGATTCTTTTTTATGGTGTGTATTTCCTCTTTCAGATCATGGAAGAACTTCAACCCCCTCCTGGAACTCATTGTCTCTTTTCTCCTGCAT